AGGCCCTACAGTTTTAAAGCCCATCTCACACTGAACTCAGCCCTCCCCAACACCCTTTTCATTTGTACCACACAGGTATATTGACCTACACATTTTAGGGCTGTATCCTGACCTGTTGTCCTCTATTACTCCTAGTTACGTTCCAGTTCAATTCTCAGGTGTTGCAGAAAATCTACCTCTTCAGGCTGTAGATGGAAATAACTGTGAAAAGTGATGCAGAAATTTAGTTTGTGCTGAACCACTCTGCTTTATTTTTACAAACTCATGCCTGCTTTCATGAAAAAAATGCTGAATAAATAGGCAGTTTTGTTTTTGCTTTTCAGGAACATTTTGTAGAAATTTTTCACTGGTGTGAATCTGAAGTTTTATCTACTCAGTTCTGTATAGATCAAGTAAATATGTGTGCTTAATATGCTAGACTCTGTGTCTTTTATTTTTAAGAGCCCTCAGATAAGCGGCACTGTTCTGATTGATGAACTTACCAATAGGTGTTCATGCTCATCACTTTACTGTAGCCTTAAGTAAATATGGGAACGGCTTAAATATGGACTTACAGATTTCGATTTATCTTCAGGAGAAACCAGACATGTGCCTGAGTGTTCAAAAATTAAAAAGCCAAAAGTGTGAAGTAAGAAACAATACTGCTGTAGTCCCTGATCTTCAGCGCAGCATGATAAAATTGTCCTTTGAATTCCCCAGCATGTCTTCTGGCACCCATTTTATGATCAATTGTTAATCTGTCTTCAATACTAGATAACAGTCTGTTGGTAAGCAAAGGGTCAACTGCAAAGGCTAATGCATGCACCTACCTTTCCCACAATCTCATTTAAATCAGCAACACAAATGTTAGAAAACACAAGACATTAAGGAGGCGTCAAATATATGTAAGTAATATAGGATTTGTGTGTTGGCTGCTGAAGAAAGAATATGTGGAATAGGTTTTGGCTGCACAGAAGGAGGCATGGGTGATGGAAATACTGCTAAAGTCGAAACAGGAGATTGTGGTTTTCCTACTAGCATGTTTTCCTCCAAAAGTAGGGTTCTCTTGCAGATATATTCCTCAGCAATCAGTCTTGCAAATTAAGCCCAAATTTATCTTCAAGTACCCTATTGGAAAGCAAGCTATACAGACATGCAAGAATGTGAGGTAACATATGCTAGGACAAACATAGCTTTACATTTACAGGAACACTGTCTTTTATAAAGAGTAAGAATATCATCATCATCTTAGAACT